ACACCTGCACACCAAGGCCTTCATTGAAAGATCTGGACGGCGCATCTTGTGTCTATTATGACCACTTCCACTATTTGGGGTCAGTTCTTACTTCAGTTAGTTGTGTTCTATGAAATCTCAGCAAACCTTGAATTAATGAATAGTGAACTATTATTGCTCCCAGGAGAATACAAAATTAGGTTGCTTTAAGTCTCTGGTCACAACATTTTCATCAGTCACTCAATACATAACTTTGTTTTATGTGCATTTCTGTTTAAAGACACTTAGTACATATTATTGATTTTCAGGCATTGAACTCATGGCCATCAGTACTGTAACACGTGCCTGAATGAAGATTCTCTAATACATATCTCTTCCATAAGGCAAATCACAGTCTCTCTGCTTAAGAAGAGCTACGAGCACTTCAGCACTACACTTGCAGCTCATCTTAAATGGCAGAATCACCAACAAATAGCGTAAAAATCCAAAAAGAAAAAGTGGCACTGAGATGTTTGTTTTTACACATTTGTTTACAGAATGAGAGTTGAAAAGAACAGATAAGCCACTGCCTCCTTGGACTTCAGCTGGCAACATATGAAAGGGACAGTATCAGTATTTTTGCTGCTTTGTATGTGGCCATAAAGGCTGTAAGCATTGACTTTGGAATTGCAAATTCATTTAGTTAGTACAGAATCTGTGAAAAATAAGAATGAACTGTACTCAATTTTAATTTCCTCCCTTATAATTTAAATATTCATTCCACTCTCATTCTAGGTAATACTATTGATGAAATCATGTTCACTCTGCTGGAAGTATTTTTGTGAACATCTATTGGTTTAAATACATTCCTACTAAAATTAAGCTGTTCATCATTCTACTACCTGAAATCATCTTACACACCCCTCATTATGCATAGGTCTAGGAGCCAATGGTTTTTTCAGACTGGATTTTGTGGGTGGCAAGAATTTCATACATGAATAGTTTGGCCCTATCCAGTCTCAGGAAATCCTTTTCTCCTTAGATTTCTGTTGGAATCACTCATTTTTTTCCAGAATTCCTGGACTATAGCAAACCAACTTCTCTTCCATAGTCATTCAGCATAAGCTATGTTTATCCTTCACTTGTTAATAAAACAGCAGCTTGTGTTTAATGTAGATTGGTTCAAATAAGGGAACTCAGCAACTTTCCAAGTCCACCAACTTCTTCCTGTGTGGTTAAACATTCCCATATTCGATGGAAATGGAGAAAGGAAATGACAAAGGATTTGGATTTTATCCTGGAAGTTATTTGCTTGCTTTTAAAATCTTAATACAAGATTTCTCCAATTTATTTTTCATAACTTCATAGAAAGCAATAATACTTTCTGTAAGAAAGCTGGTTTTTTAGGTAAAAAAGACCATTTAATTTCAAAGTATACCATAAATTAGATTTAAGTGCTATCTGGCATTTTCAATTAAAATATCCAGGGCTAATCACATTGCAAAGATTCTCTGATGGCAGCTGGGCAGGTTCATGCCTGTCTGTAATCCCAGCATCCTGGGAGGCTGAAGCAGGAGAATCATGAGTTCAAACCCAGCATGAGCAACTCAGCAACTTACTGTCTCAAAATTTAAATAAATAAATAAAGATTCTCTGATGGCACAATACTCACAGAGCTGCAACTGACTTCTTTCAGAGGGTGTTTGTTAAAGCATATGAGCTTTTTAATTGATTTTCAGCCTCTGCCACATTGCACTCTAAATACATTTTTCTATAATTTGTAAGCATTAGCCGAGTTATTTATAGATGAGGCTAAATACTTGTTAATTCAAAGTAAATAACACTTAAGCCATGTATACATTTTAGAATCTTGAACTTATGTTAAATGTTCAAGAAACTGCACTCCATTTCCTTCTCTTTCATTGTGTCTTCTGATGGATGTTAATGTTCATGTCTGGGTTTCCTTTATAATTCCCTTCCAACTAATTATGCAGAGAGAGGAGGAAGAGTTGCTCCAAATACAACATAACTGAGAGTTCAGTTCACAAGTCTCACTCACCAGAGGGGCCTTCCCACATGGAAAGTAGACTCCAGATGAAGGGAGAGTCTGTGGTCTCAGCACTTTGTCATCTTGAAGAGTCCTCTAAGGCATTTCTGCTTCCCTTGGCTTTTAGAGCACTTAATTTCCCTCTGTTTTCCCCATGGTGGTGGCAGTAGGCTCTGTCTTAACAGAATTCACACCTTATCCACATGTCCTCTTCTTTGTTCTCTAGACACTAACTTTCCCACCGTAAACTGCAGCACACTGGCCATACAGGTTGCCAGTATGTGACCTCCACCTTCACAGTGGTAAGGCAAGCCACCTGGAGTGGAGCGGGCCTCCTAACTCATGACTGCTGGCCCTGACTAGCCTCATCCACAGAGTCCAATACACAATACAAGAATTATCCTTTTCTATGGGTCCCATGACATGAGAAAGCCTGGGGAATACCACTCAAGACCAAGATTCATCATGGCTTTGGGAACATCAACAGATTCCACAACACCCCTATCCTCAACATGTTTGCCTGGCTCTCTAGTGCCTGGCAACTAGTTCCCCAGACAACTGGCTCATCTTTAGAGTTAAGACCCAGCAAGCTTACTTCATTTCTGCAAAGACTAACTAGATGTTCCCCACTTCCCCTTCCTGGGCTTAGACACAAACTACCCTTCCCAGGTCCTTGTGTAAGACCAGCTCTTGCTGATGCCATGTAAGTGGAAGTGATGTATGACTTTTGGGTCAAGGCAATTGAGGGCTGTATGTCTTCTCCTACACTTCTCCTCCTGACTCTTCCTTTCAAAGTGTCCTTAGACACGGCATGTGTTGAAGACAGCAGCTAAGACCTTGAATGTCTGTATTCTGCACAGCTGTCTCACAACTTCTAGCTGATTGAAATGGACTTTCATGTAAGAAATAAATTTTTTTATTGTTTTGAGCCCTAAGACTTCAGTATTTATTGGTTATAAAAGCTAGCATTACTTACCATAATCAGTACAATTTCTTAGACTCATTAACATGCACTGACGCTTGTCTCCAACACTCCAAATTGGTGTGTTGAAGTCATAACTCCCAGTACCTCAGAATGTAACTGCTTTTGCTCTTTAAAGAGGTGATTAAATTAAAGTGAAGCCACAGATGTTAAGGCAACATGACTGGTATCATGAGAAGAGAAAGAAACCAGGAGCATGTTGCACAGAGGGATGACCATACAGAGCATAGGAGAAATCAAAAAGCACTGTGGCCTTGGATGTCCAATCTTCAGAACTATAGGAAAATAACTATGTTTGAGCCACTCAGTCCATGGTGCTTTGTAATGACAGTTCAGCAAGCTAATGTATGCGATGAAGTCTCCTCATGTACCATCTTGGTTCCTTCTTATTTTCCGACAAGTTTGCTCAGATTTTTAACCCATGAGCAACCATGAAGTCCTCAAAGATGCCACTTTTGCTAAATCTCTTGTCTCTGCCATAGGTATCTTTCATGAACTGCAATCAATTCTGGTAATTCTCAGACAAATCCACACATGAAAATATGCACCCACACACATCTTATTGCATTTGCCTGATGCTTTCCACATTTCATCATTAGCTGGCCACAGAGATTTGTGTAACGAAAAGTCTTTACCATACCAAGAGATGCCTATGATTTAAACTTAGCCTGGTTCAAGGGCTCACAGGGAACTAGTTGTAGGTGAACACAAGCACCAAAGATTTTCCTTTACTGCAGCTCCATCCTGGCCACTGCCCTCAAAGTCTGTCACTAATGAAGCACCTCTGTGATAGGCTTCTTTGACACAGGCTCTGTCTCTGCAGAGCCTGAGACTGGCGACACTGCCTGGGTGAATGCAGGGTCAGTGGGATTCCCCATCTCCCTCAGCAGGCTGGAGCCAGGTCTGCCATATGGAATCCATGAGGCTATCTAATAGGGCAGCTTGGGTCAAACCAAGCTCTGTTTTTTTTTTCTTCTTAAATTCTTTTTGGTATATTTTAGGTGTACAATATGTTTGCATTTATCTTTGGGTACTTGTACCTGTACATAATCCATCTTGGTTCTTATTTTTTCCCCATTACCTGTCCTCCCTTCACTCCCTTCACCCCTCCGTATTTACAAAGACTTTCTTTCCATTTTTTCCTTTTCTTATAATTTTTCCTTTCCCTTCTTTCCTTTCCCCTCCCACTTGCCCTACCCCTTTGGACCCTTTCTTCCTATTTCAAATTATCAATTATTCATTTTAATCATTTTAATCCTTATTTACACTTTCAGTTTCTCACACCAGAGAAACCATACGGTATTTACACATGTGTGTCCTATTTATTTCACTTAAGAGTATGGCCTCAATATGCATCCATTTAGCTATAAATGTCTCTAGTTTCTCATTCTTTAGGGCTGAGTAGTACTCCATGTTACAAAAAAAAAAACCCCACATCTTCTTGATCCAGTCTCCAGTTGATGGGCACTTGGGCTGCTTCCAAGTGTTAGCTATTACAACCTGTGCTGCTATGAACACGGGTGCACATATATCGCTGTGGTATGAGTCTTTTAATTCTTTGGGGGAGATCCCCAGCAGGGGAATAGCGGGGTCAAATGGGACCTCTAGTCCTGGTTCTTTGCGGTATCTCCATGCTGATTTCCACAGCAAGCCAAGCTCTGTTTATGGAAGCAAGATGTGCAATCCTGGGAAGCCCACAAAACGCAAGATACCACCTTGCAAAAGCTTTACTGCGGCTCGGAGCTTTTGAACAGGCGACCACCCTTCATAGATGGAGCTCGCACACTGGACCGGCTGCTTGCCAGTCTTATCCTTCAGTCTGGGGAATTTGTTTGAAACAGCTCCCTCTACTGGGCTATTAAAAAATCTGAAGCTTTAAAAAAAATTTTAATACATTTTATTTTATCCCATTCCTCCCCTCTTCTTAAGCCCCTCCCCTCCCTATACACAAAAGTTTTGTTTCCATTTTTTCCTTCTATTTACACTTTCTTTCTTGTCCCTTCTTTCCTTTCTTCCTCCCTTCTCCCTTGGTCCCCTTCCCATTTGAACATTTTCTTCCCGTTTCCCATTTCCCAGTATCTATTATACATTTTTGTCCTTATTTCCACTTTTGGTTTCTCACACCAGAACAATAATGCAGTATTTAAACATGTGTGAAGCTTTTGATGTCATGAAACTAGGAAAAAACCGACCCTGTTGCCAGTTGGGGAATCAGCTGATAGAGTTAACGAAGGAAATGACAATGTCTGACAGAAAAATACTAAAAGGTGGGTAAGTGGAGTATTTGCCAATTCCTTCTGGGTAGCACCCCTCACCACCACCACCAAAGGTCCCTCTGCATCTTACTCATCTGTCACCTGAAGGGGCTGAGGGTGAGGAAACCCCTGACCTGTCTTCTAAGAGGTACAGGACAACATGAACACAGTATATTCTTCTAAGGACAAATATAATCCAAAATTCAGCTCCACAGGAAATGGACAAACATGAGAAACAAGAGGGCAAAGGTGTTCCAGAAAGGCAAGCCAGAACACATTTACAAAAGGGGCCTTTTCCAAAATGAAGACAGCCCAAAAGGAAAACAGCCAGCTACCCTGTGTCTTATCGGGGACACACATCAGTGGGAGCCCCAGGCCTGGTCCAAGGGCTGTTCATGACCTTTGTAGAACAGCTACAGACTTTAATAGAAGACCATCTTGATTTTCTCCTTTCATCCTGATGTGCTTTTCCTTTCTTGCATCAGAGCTGCTTCAGAGGGAGCGGTAAAGCAGGGAATGAAGGAGGGAAGTCCCTGAAAGTGTGCCTCTCCTCTCTACAGAGCCCAGTGTCACTCAAGGCTCAGCATGTGGATATCGATTGCTCTCAGTCAAGCCAAAGTGATGAGCCCACCCCTACCATCCACTTAGGGACAACAATAAGCCTCATCTGTGTTGGAGTTCAAGAGAGTCCAACAAATAGCACCTTTGTTTCCTGCCATAGGAACTGGGCCAGTGGAAATCAAAACAGAAAACACTGGCAAAAGCTGGGTTGGAGGATGTTGCCTTAACTATATCAGGCAAGTGGGTTTTGCCTTCTCTCCCCTTGTACTGAACCCACTCACCCAGCTACAAGCAGCACCCTGCCCCAACAGCTGACCTCTGTAAAGTTTATGGCATGGAAGAGCAGACAGGAATGGCCTCAACCAGGGATAGAGCTGAGTCACCCTGTCCTAGTTTTCCTTCATGAACTGCAGACTCTCCAATCAGATAAGTCACTCACCTCCCCTGGGAAGATGATGAGTAAGGGGGAGGGGTCTGGCAAGAGGTCCGGTGTCTAGTAGAGGACTTGGCACATGGAAGGAAACTGAAGAGAAGAAAGCAAGTGTCCCCAACAGTCCCTTCTGGCAGCCTCCATATACACTCACCCCTTCCCTCTGCAAAGACGTGAGTATGCACACACACACCCTGCTAGGACCTGGCACACGGACCAAGCCAAAGGCTTCCTAGCTCAGATCCTGCAATTGCAATTGTCACTGTCCTGATAGTTCTGCTCCATAACTGCTTTCTTGTCTGTCTTCTGCATTAGAACTTGGACTCCTGGGAGGCAAGGGCATTCATCCCTACATCCCAGAGCCTAGTATTAGCATATGGTGGATACACCAGAAATGTCTCTGGAATGGATGGATGAATAGATGGATAAATAGATAAAATGAATGAATAAAGAGTAAAACCAAGGGGACCTGCAGAAGAAAGGCTTTATTCCTGAGATACACTAAAGCTTTGATCTGAGTCAGTCTAAGGGCAAATCGTCCTATAGCTGGGGAGATGGGGATCACATTAGGCCCCAGAGTAAGGAGACTCAGAATCTGTACTTAAATTCCTCAGAATGTCAGCATGTCTCAGGTGACACAAGCCCCTGAGGGATCACCACAGCCTGGCTCCAGCCCCTCACCTGAGTGTGGACCTCTGTGAGGAATCCTCCTATTTTCTGAGGAATTTTAAGCTAAAAGGCACAAAATGACCATAAACTAAGTAACTTTCTTAGAAAGCTACTGTAACAGACAACTCGCAATTGTCTCAAAGACCGCTTCCCTTTCTCTTTCCCTCTAGGCCTTTTGGATACAAAATAATTGCCTCTGCCTGCCCCTTTGCCTATCATAGCCTTGCCTGGAAATCCGCTGGGCAGCAAAGCGAGACTGCAGGAAAGCTTTTCATATTTCAGTGAAATCTCACATTGTCTTCAGCCACGTTTTAATATCACACATCTAAATGGTAAAGATGAAAAAAGTAAAAGAAAATGCCAGCTCTGAGCAGATAGAAGTTGCCAGAGCACAATTTTTTGTGCTCACGGCAGGCAGTCATCACCAACTCAGAGATCAAGAAAAACTTGAGATCTGTATAACGGCACGATGAGCTGCAAATTTAGAATGCCATTTGCAGCTCATATTGGTTATATATTTACGTGATAGTTAACACTTAACTTGTACGGGCCCGTAGGGAGTAGACAACTTCTAATAGCTATTTCCTGTACTTTTCAAGTATTTCGTATGCGGGAATGATGAAACATTAAAGGTTGGTAACTAAGTTGTAAGTACACAGTGAAGAAAAAAATTGCTCCGAGTGAAAAAATTACAACTCATCGATCGAAATCATGCATAGATCTTCATAGTCTTTGGAGTTAGGTGTAAAGACAGCTTACTTGCCAAGCTCACTTGGAGCTGGTGTACTTGGTGACGGCCTTGGTGCCCTCAGACACGGCGTGCTTGGCCAGCTCGCCAGGCGGCAGCAGCCACACGGCCGTCTGGATCTCCCGCGACGTGATGGTCGAGCGCTTGTTGTAATGCTCCAGGCGCGATGCCTCGCCGGCGAGGCGCTCGAAGATGACGCTCACGAAGGAGTTCATGATGCCCATGGCCTTGGACGAGATGCCGGTGTCGGGGTGGACCTGCTTGAGCACCTTGTACACGCTCTCCTTGCGGCTGCGCTTGCGCTTCTTGCCGTCGTCCTTCTTCTGCGCCTTGGTCACCGCCTTCTTCGAGCTCTTTTCCGTGGCCTCCTCCTATTTTCTATATGGCTTCCTTCCCATCTTTCCTCCTCCAGGTCCATAGAACTTTAGTTTCAGGCTGGAGACCAGATCTGGGAATCTCTGACCCTTAAAAAATACAAAGCCCTCTCATAATCAAAGTACAACTTGGTCAAATATAAGTGCAATACTGACAGAATACAAGCTAAATGTTCACATAGTGTATGTCATACATTTTTTTTTCTGTCCTGATATAGACTGGAATACCTTGCCCAGGGAACACACTCGAAACATTACCTGGATATGTTTCACTACAATGAAAACAGATCCAAGAGCTTGGGCTTTGAACAGAAGGAAGACGGTGGGCAGGAGAAGTATGAGTCCTGGCCCCTTGGGTCCCAGTGATGGCTAGTCCGACAGCCTTAAGTCTGGGTTCTGCTTTTGCGGCAAGTCTGACAGGTTCTATAATTTTTCCAACCTGCAGTTCACTCTTCTGTTATCTGAAAATGATAATAATTATAACAAATCCTTTAGGATTGATCAATAAAAATTAAATAAAACACACCCAATGCTTAGCACAGCAGAGTATCAAGCATATAGTGAGTATCTGATGCAATATTTTTTTAATTGCAGGTGTTGCTTTGTTATTTTTGCCAGTTAAGATTCTTGGGAGGTGTAGGAAGTCAAGGAAAAAAAGATGATAACAACTTCCAGGGGCCTGAGCTAAAGTGGCAAAGTTCAGAGTGACCTTATGCTGAGGCACAGATCTGCAAGTCTCCCTGTGTTGCCTGATCAGGAAACTTGGGATTCTCTTCCTGGAGAGTTGGCTTTTGGGGTCTCCTTCAAACTCCATCCTACACAAACAAGGAGGAAGGAGGGAGGGATGGAGGGAGGGAGAGAGCTGCTTCCCTAGAGAGAGAGGAGATGTGTCCCTTGGCCAGTAGCGACTCAAGGTCTCAGAGGGACGCCTGGTCCCTGACTGGCCAAGGAGAGCCAACTGCCCCATGTTTGGACCTTAACCGAAAGTGTGTCCACACATGCAGTCCACACAGGAAAGCAGCTCACACACACAGGGGGCATGAAGGATGACAGGAACTGTGGACTCCAGCCCAAGGGCTATTTTCAGACAAACCAGAACTGGAGTCAAAGGAGGTTTTGTTTGTGTAACATCTGTGGAAGGCCCTTCAGAGCCCCTCACCCTGGGTCTCCAGGCCAGCACTGCAGTGGGCAGGGGGGCAGAAGCTTCCTGTTGTTCTTGGCTACAGCCTCCTGTGTGTGTGTGGCTCCTCTCTGGAACTGTTTGTATCCCTCTGGATGCTGCATGCTGCATGAAGTCCTGTTGGGCTCCCTTCCTAGGGGTAGGAAGGTCAGAGATGGTGAACCAGGGAATGGGAGAGCTACCTCCTGATCCCAGGGTTCCCTGGCCACTCTACACCCCACTCCCTGCTCCAGGGTATCCTTCCTGCCCATTCCCTCAGCTGAGCTTGTCCTTGTCAGGTCTAGGGGTGGCTAAGAAAAGACCCTGCCTCTGAAGTCTGCAAGCCCAGGCCTGGGTCCAGATCTGCATCTGGTAGGGGCTTGTCTTGGGTAAATTGCTTAATTCCCAAGTTATTTATTGCATGCAAATCCATATATAAACACAGTCATCCCTTGGTATCTTTGGGTGATTGGTTCCAGGACTGTCCAGATACCAAAATCCTCAGATGCTCAAGTCCCTTATGACATAGGGTTTGCATATAACCTTCACGCACCACTCTTATACTTTAAATCATATCTAGGTTACTTGTAATACCTAATCCAATATAAATGTTATGTGAATAGTACTGTGAAGTTTAAGGAATAATGACAAGAAAAGAAAGTTTGCATGTATTTGGTATACAGACAATTTTTAAAAAGTATTTTCTACCTACAGTTGGTTGACACCACAGATGTAGAACCCACATGTACAGATGGATAAATATATATATATATATATATATACATATATATATATGTATATATATAAGATAAACAATATATGTTAATTTCCTTCTTTCTCTGTGCTGGCTTCTGCCCTGTGGACATGGAAAACAGAAGTTCTCTGGTCATTATTCCTAAAAATACATGAATCTTATTAGGTCAGGGCCCTAACCTTCTGACCTCATTTAACCTTAATTACTTCCTTAAGGACTCCTACTCTAAATATGGTAACCATGTTAGTCAGCTTTCTGTTATGGTAACAAATACCTAAGACCAATCAATTCATAAAGAGAAAAGATTTATTTTGGCTAACGTGGATCCAGTCCATGATCAGGAAAACCCACTAATTTTAGGACCCTGGTGAGGGTACAGCACCAGGAGTTCAAGGCAGAGCAAAAGCAACATCATGCTTTTTGAGGGTGTGCCCTGAATGACCTTTAAGATCTCCCACAAGGCTCCACCTTACAAAGTTTCCTCTCTCTCCCAATAGCTCCAAGCTAGGGAACAAGCCTTTAACACATGGCATTTGGGGGACATTTAAGATCTAAACTGTATGCTTTAGTTGCTTTCTCATTGCTAAGACAAAATACTCAGTGCCCCCAAGTTAAAGGAGGAAAGGTTTAGCTCACAGTTTGTAGAAGTTTCAGTCCATGGTTGGCTGGCTCCAAGGCAGGGTGGCATGGCAGAGGAGAACGGCAGAGGGGAAACAGCTCATGGAAAGGAAGCAAAAAGCGATCAAGGTATATATCTCCTTCCAGGCCACACCCAGTGACCCACATCTTTCCACCAGACTTCACCTCCCAACATCACGCCAAGCTATAAACCCATCAGTGGACTAATCTAATACCACACACCCATAATCCAGTCACCTCCAAAAATCCCCCACCTATAAGTGCATGAGGCTTTGGGGGGGGACATCAAGATATATGTCACAACACTGCATTAGTGGGACATACCTGTAATTTCAGCACTTTGGGAGACTGAGGCAGGAGGATCACAAATTTGAGCCCAGCCTGATCAACTTAGCATCTTAGCAAGACCCTATCTTAAAATAAAAAACAAAACAAAAACAGGGCTGGGGATGTAGTTGAATGCAATGGCCCCAGGTTTGATCCTCTGTACCACAAAACAAAACAGAAACTGAACTATAACCATAAAATCAGAAGGAGGGTTAGAGCTTCAACATATGAAGCGGGGGGCACAATTCAGCCATAGCTCTGTCATCATATTCCCCCGGCCTGTGGCTGGTAATTACTACTTTACTTACATCTCAAAACTGGAAGCAACCTAAAGGTCCCCTAACCGAAAAATGGATGACTAAACATTAGCATACAATACAATAGAATATTCTGCCTCAATCCAAAGAACAGGTTCCCATACAGAGGATCCATTCTGGGCTTTCCCCGGAGCAGGATATAAAGGAAGTGAAACAACAGAGGCCTTTGGATGTTGAGAATTTTGACCTCTACCAATAGTTGGTTCATTAGGACAAAATCTAACTTTCTTCTCATGTTTGAAGGTAAATTTCCAAGTCTTTGGGAATTTTACCTATCCTCTCCTGATCCTCCTACTCTGGGGCAGAGAAGGAGACCTTAGCAGGAGTGTTTCCCAGCTGAGCCTTGTTAATATGAAGCATAGCTTTCCTGGGGAAGAACTTGACTTTGTATTTGAACTTTCTATTATTACTCTTACCAAAAAAACACTAGGGTAGCTAGCTGGCTAAAGAAAAACAGTTGTTTCAATTAGGTGTTTTGAATTAAGCCAATATTGGTTTAGCAGATTTTACTCAAGATGTTTTCCTATACATAGGATGTTTTACTAAATCCTCCAAAGGTTGTGGTAGATTTCCCTATCCATTATTATTTGACCTTATGCTTTGTGAAATATCAAAGTAAGTATACTTTTAAGAGTTGTGCTGCCAGTTTAAGGTTAACTGCCTAATAGAAGAAAAGGTTTTTATAAAAGTCATCTCTTTGAGGGGTAGGGAGTCTTAATTCACCCAAATAATAGATTTGGAAGTGAAGGCAGCCAAAGCTTGATATCTGGGATAACAAGCCAAACTGCTTGCAGCTCTGCAAAACGTGGCATTTCCCAGGCAGTGAGCTGAGACTTCCATTCCCAGAGGTTTCATTCTGATTTCTGTGAGTCTGGTTTCTATCCAGAGGCCCTGCTTGCCTGGTGTCCCAGTTTGCACTGGAAGAAAATTAAATTGGCCAGAAGCAGAGATACTTGGGAGATGCAAATGTGCATCACCGTCAAAGAAACTGGAGTTCAAGTCTTGTATCTTCCCTGCCTGGGTGTATAGCCAGGAGCATTATTCAACTTTTCTGAGCCTCAGTTTCACGATTCATAAAAGGGGCACAATAATTCTTACCTCTGAGCATTTGATAAGAGTCAGAAATCCTATTTGTGAAGTGTTTGGAATACAGTAGCTAATTCATTTAACTAAATATTTTTTGAATTCCTACCACATGTTAGACACTTTTTACCAGCAAGGACACAGTGTGAACAAATAAGTTCTGCCAAATAGTCATCATTCCAACAAGCATATGAAAAGAGGCTCAGCATCACTAGTTGCCAGGGCAATGCAATCAAAATCACAAGGAGACAGCATCCCACACATGTTAGAATGTCTATCGTCAAGAAAAAGTGTTGAGGATGTGGAGAAATTGCAATCTTGGTACTCTGTTGCGGGGAGTGTAAAAATTGTATAGCTGCTTTGCAAAACAATGTGGAGGTTCACCCAAAAGTTAAAAATAGAAATATTATATGATCCAGCAATCTTACTTCTGGGTATTTATCCAAAAGAATTGAAATTAAGATCTTGAACAGAGATTAGCACTCCTATGTTCATTGAACCATTATTCACAAGAGCCAAGATGTGGAAACAACTTAAATGATTCCCAATGGATGAATGGATAGGGAAAGTGTAATATATACATGCACAGGAGTATTATTCAGCCTTTAAAAAGAAGGAAATTCTGCCATTTGTGACAGCATGGATGAACATGGAGGACAGTACACTAAGTGAAATAAGCCAGCCCGAGAAAGACAAATACTGCATGACCTCAGGTATC